AATTTATGGTAGAGGGGGTTTGCGTTCGCGCAGCCCCTGCATACAATGAATGAAATGACGAAATTAGTAGTAGAGGAATTTAGTTTGGCAGTTTTATCAATATGGCACGTGGACAATGTAACTTGGCTGTTCGTCGTTTTTATCAGAAATATGTACAGTTCCTGGAGTCTTTTTAAATATCTCAGCGGCAGGGAAAAGTTGAGCGAGACTGGGGAATTGCAACGTGCTGCTTGTTCTGGCGAAGTGGCCCCCTTGTACTGAGTATGTATTCTCAGAGTGTCGACTTGCTATCATGCTCTAAATCACTACATGTTCTTTCTCACGACTCGGACTATTAAAACAATCTGAATGAAGAAAACCATCACAGGTGTTGTTGACCAGTTGAAAAATCTCGAAAGATACCCGCATTCACATACTGACTGACATGCAAGACTTGTTCAGGGAGGTGATCCTGAGAAGTCGAGTAGGGGAGTTTGTCCGGGAGTATTGGAACAGTTTTTGGGCATACGGTCACCATGGAGATAGCAGCCAGTTACCATGGCAATGCTCTGCGGGTATTTACGACACATGTGGTGCAACCCAGCATTGCTTTGAAATTGTATTCTCTAAAATGGCGTAGATGGGAAATATCTAGGCTGAAGAGAGTTTGAGTAGAGTTTTGCAATGACGTGCACTGTATTCTGTTGAGGTATATGTGTTAGGAGATGATGGTTTGGAAATCAGCTTTGCGCAGTGGTAGTACCATAGCCAATGAGGTCCAACCGAGGCGTGGTTATTGCTAGTTGAAAACTTTTCCCAATATCCCGCATTGACGACTTGAAACATAGTCGGCTTTGCAATTTTTGAAGGCTCATCCGTGAGCCAACTTTCAAATGAATCAAAGAGAATGAGATTTGGAATTGAGAATGAGAAGGTGTGCAGTTGTTCATTGCTCCCCTACTTTGCAGCCCGTACTACTCTTGCGGACTTGGAGATTCAAGCGAACTCGTGTAACAAAAGCACGGAAATTGTCGCCCTGTACAGATGTAGTACCATGGAGAACAGGGCAAATGAAATGTCCGAGTGATGTCTTCCCTGAAAATGCCACTTATAAAAGTTCACCAAATTTCGGACTTGATAGAACCCGAAAGTTTGGTGAACTTGTTTTCCTGCTTTTTAAAGGCCACACTGGGTTTTTTCTGTGTTTCGCGTCCCCAGCGCTCGTGTATTTCATAGCCGGAGTTAAAAAAAAACTGAACGTGTGCAATGTATATGTACGTATAGCTTTTATACACGTGTGTGGGTAAGTTGGGCCGCCAGTCACGCAATCACCATGCTGCCCGTATTCACAGTACTTGGACCGCACGCTTTAGTAGTGCGCCCTCACCACATAGGATGCAGGGTGATATGAGCGGAAGCGCGTGGCCAGAAACGTCCCTATCCAGCTGATATGGACACAGTTTGGCCAGTTTGTACCACTCGGTGCGTTCTTTCCTGCATTCATTGCATTTGAAATGAATACATTCATGTACGTGTATGGTAATCATGTACATGTATGGACTCTAATAATGATATGCATGAACAGTCAGTGTCTTTACTAGACTGTACACATAACTATACAATGCAGTACACACTACAATGTTTTTGTTTTTTGGGATGTTTTTTTCTTCATTTTTCCGCCTTCCCTCATTGATGGCATCGAGTAAGGCGGTGTTTACATGAGGCGTTTCAACCCGGGTTGAGTTCGACCCGGGTCAGATTTCAACCCGCCATGTGCATAAAATGAATGGCGCGTTTACATGACGCATTGCGCTTGACCCGGGTTGAAATTTCGCCCCGGGTTGATTTCAACCCTCCCCCCAAGGGGGGGAGGGTTGAAATCAACCCGGGTCAAGAACATCGTACAAACGTACTTCTGTGCGTATCTCGCGCCAGGTTTGAACGGCACTGCAGATGCAAATTTCGCGCAAACGGATTCACGTGACCATACAGGACTGTAGAAGTGGACTTTTGGCGGCATATCAGTATTTGACCCGGGTCAACTGTCTTCATGTAAACTCAACCCGGGCTGAACTCGACCCGGGTTGAAATTTCTCATGTAAACACAGCCTGAGGTGACGCGAAACATTAAAAAAACGATGTGGCCCTATTTTTGGGGGGAAAAAAAGAAAGAAATGGGAAGCAAAAGAGAAATGTCCTCCCCGGCCGGGAATCGAACCCGGGTCTTCCGCGTGACAGGCGGAGATACTTACCACTATATTAGAGAGGTTCTGCACAACGAAAATTCGAACGAAGTTTCGCGACAGCCCTTGCGAAAATGTGTACGAATTTTCGCACGAACTTTGTGTTCTGCACATTTTCGTAGTTTGCACGCGCCAAGTGCACGTACGACATGACTGAATCTCACGAGACTTCCTACGAAAGTTGATTTCGCGTTCCCTGCAAGTTTCGCGTCCAAAGTTGCGAAAGTTCGTGCGAAGTTTCTCACTTCGTGACGTAGAGCGAAAGTTCGTACACATTTTCGTTTTGCAGAACCTCTCTACTACCGAGGATTGACTGTCGGTGGATCTTCAACTCCAGTACAATAGAGTGGCAAAGATGCAAAATATTTAAGAAGCTGTGGACACGCGTCCATGGAGCTATGAAGCCGAGACCTCTGGTCGGCGGAGCTTAATGGGCCCCACCACCACACTCCATCATTCACCCCAGTGTCTGGAGATATGTGGATTTTGTAGAAAAAAAACACACACACACACGTTTACCAAGTCCATGTGCAGTCTATCTACAGCTTGAGTATAGAGTGTTTCAGGATCCTACGCCGAGAAAAGGTGAATACCCTTGAATCGCCTTATGCTTGAAAAGAGCTTGTTTTGTATCTTGAAGACGCAGTTTCCATTGCAGCAGCCTTGGACAAACAAACCTGGATGGGACAAACAATATCTGGACCAGTTGCCTTTGGGCTCTATTTTCTTGTTTTCAATGATATTTCAGTCATGGAATCCCGAGTAAAACTAGCTTGGTTGAAAACCCGATTACACGTGTTGGTATCCCAACTTGAAATGGCAGTTGGATGTTGCTATGGAAACGTATCGCTACCGGCAAGGATGTGACCACGATGATGTTTGATATTCTTGGTTATTTTAGAAAGCTGACTTACATTCGTGAAAGTCAACTCCTTGTGTGGAGTCTAGTTGGATATGTTTGGCCAAACCCATTCCGTAACTACTGGACCTAAAGCACAGCATGTAATAAGTAGCTTGTCTGGGATCTTGAGAGGTTCATACTCTGGTTTACCTTCAACCACGAATAAATCTTTCGCCTTTTACTAAAGATTTCCGTGGAGGTGGACATTGAAGGAGTCTTCTAATGAATTTTTCTTTAGCCCTTGCTCACTGAGCAGGGCTCAATAAATTACCAAAGAAAGGGAAATTCAATTTCTCATGCTTTTGCTGGTAGCTTACGCTGGTGTGATATTGGATTTGAATCCAGGGCAGGATTGTATCTTCTGTCACATGTGTCCCGGTTTAAAACAAGCTCTGCTTGGCTGATAACAGACCCTCGCGACTGTTACGGCATGTGATGGGCGCACGAACGGGTACATGCCGAGATCACAAAATCATTATACCCTGACGTACCGCCGGAACACCCTACCACCAACACATTTCCATTCCTTGGAGTCGGCCAGCCATGGCCTCGTACTCAATTTTTTTTAAGCGCTTGAACTTGCTACCTTAGTCAACGTGCTTATACCGGCGAATACAAACGGAGTTCCAAGATCCGAATGCCGAAGCACTACGTGCGTAAAAATGTATTATGCCTGGTCATCATTGTCATTGGTATGAGTGAAGATGCACTTGGCTGGGTTGCTTCTCTACTTCTGAACTGAGAAATCTGCCCCGTGTTGTATTATTATTATTATTATTATTATTATTATTATTATTATTATTATTATTATTATTATTATTATTATTATTATTATTATTATTATTATTATTATTATTATTATTATTATTATTATTATTATTATTATTATTATTATTATTATTATTATTATTATTATTATTATTATTATTATTATTATTATCATTCTCGTATCCGTCTCGAATGGGACTCACAACGGCAGAATTGACTGTGAGCATGTGTGTGTGAGAGTGCGAAAACCCCGTTCTGTATCCTCAAAGAGTAACCAGCAGCTTTCGGCCTGTTGTTTATCAATAAAATAATGCCACCTCCACCAAACGCGCTCTCTGGCTCCAACTCCAACTTGTAGTCATGTTGCTATTGTGTGAGGTTGGCCAGAGAGCACGTTTGGTGAAGGTGGAATTGCTTTATCGTTTTGTATCCTGATTTCAATATGAGAAGATAGTGTCAGTCAATGTTGATCTACGATGAATATTCGGAGTATTGATCTCTCTCTTCGTTGCTATTGGCAACGGCCTTCACTTGCCACTGGTGCTTCGTTTTGTGCGTGACATGTTTTCCTTAGCAACTCAATGTAGCACGTTGCAGCTAAAGTATTTCATGTTGGTGTATGTGTGTTGAGTTTGGCCATGTCGTGTACTTTGTCACCTTAGCGACCAGTCGACGCCTTTCTTGCGAAGATTTGCTTACAGTTCTCTTCTCTAAGTGTCTATGGGTGATGTGTGATTGTTTGTGTGTGTGTTCTGGGTTAGTATGTTGTGTGTTTTTGTGGAAGAGGTAGTAGGGACACTGTAGTTTGAATTTGTAGAAAGGAAAAGAGCGTGGGAGGTGAAAGTTATCGCTTCTCGGCCTTTTGGCTAAGATCAAGTGTAGTATCTGTTCTTATCAGTTTGATCGCTGATATGTTGACTATATGTCAACATTCGATCAAATGTATTTTTGCTCGTTGGAGAGTGGCTCGAAGCTTGCTTCACCCTCTCCATGGATCACCCTGGTATTGCAGTTCTTCCAGGTGTGGTCCATTCCCTTCCTGGGATTATAATCAATACAACGAAAGACTGTTTATTTTGTGTTTTCTTTGCTTGCGCGTGTTTTTACAGGCATGTGGTCTGTTTCTCTCGCAGTATGTATGACCGGGCTGTTGAGCTATGGGTGAGTGGTATGCGAGTGATGATGGTATATTTTACTCGTGTGTGTGTGTGTGTGCGCTGCACGTGCGTATTTCACATGGAAGTGTACCTGTGTTTGTACTTGTGGGTGCCCATGTGTTTACCTGAAAGTCATGCAGTCAACCTTGCGAATAACAACAACTCTTGTTTGGGCACGAGGAAAGGTGTTGTTATTCGAGACTTGTCATTCTTCGTGAGGTTGAAAGTACACAGAGAAATGGGGACTTGGTGCGCTGATTGTGTCGTTATTCACGAGTTTTTTGTTATTCCCGATGTCGTTATTCATGAGGTTACCTCTATGTGTACATGAATGGGTATGGTGTGGGGCCAATGCTTGACCAAGTGTTTTCATGTGCCGTGTCTTGTACGTGCATGCACTAACGCATGCTGTGCATGGTGTGCCCGCTCTGTCTTCTCCTAGCCGGCATGTTCAGACAAGATGATAATACAAGCACAGAGTAAGTGCAAACGTGTGTTCAGGTTGTGCTTGTTTGAGATCATCGGATTGTCTCTGCGCTTTGTACAGTATGAAGGCCTAGTGTTGCAAGCAATGCACTTGAGGAGACTGTAGTGGAATGATGGCAAAGCCCCTGTGACCCAACCCAAGCGGCCACACAACCAAGACGTTTTATTTAGCTTACATTTGTCACTACAAGGAAAAAAGAGAACTAACAAAAAGCCATGATCTCGGAACTACTCCTAGTACTAGTAGTAGTAGTACTTCACTTGACCTAAACCGGAACTAAATCGTACCCGCACGGTACGCAGCGCAGACTGCACGTACAGCAGAACATAACCATGATAACGCGACGCAGCTTGGAAAGCCAGCTAGCTAGCTATGTATGAAACAACGGACCGCAAGCATGACAGCGGGAAATGCAAAGGGCCAGTCGGCAACAGTACACAATGACGATTTATGCTATTGGGTATCATTCATGGCTAGACCTAACACTGTATGCACGTGACATGTCGCCAAGTTATTGTTCTAACCAGAGGAGTAATTGTCACCTTCAGCAGCATGGATCTAAGAGTAAGACTAAGACTGTATTCATCATCAAGACTTTCTACAATCAACAGAGTAAGCTCTGAACTTGACCATTCTCTTACTTATGTACTCGCTCGCTCACTGACACGTTGGCTCTCTCACTCACTCATTGTTAATTCCTAACTCACATCCTCGCTGTCTTGTCTGTGTGTGTGTGGTGTTTGTGTGTGTGTGTGTGTGTGTGTGTGTGTGTGTGTGTGTGTGTGTGTGTGTGTGTGTGTGTGTGTGTGTGTGTGTGTGTGTGTGTGTGTGTGCTTGTTTGCTGTGTGTATTTGTTTTCGTGCATGCGTATGCGTCATTTGTATACCAATGCATTTGTCCAGGTGTGGAAAGGTCTATCTCAAGAGAATGCTATCCATCCATTTCTCGGTGGCTTCGTTCCATATCACCCGGTACGTAGAAGTCAGTAGAGGAAGGTAGCTAAAACCAAACCGTACTGGTTTGTTAGCCTGCCAAGTTTAATATGAGCGCGGAGAGGGTAACGCGGGTGCAAAGAATAGGATTTTCTGGGATTTTCTGGGATTTTCTGTCTTTGGCTATGGTGTGATGGGTCTGATCTAAGGCTAAAGCACTTTTTTTCTTTTACAAAAAAACCCACGCACCATTTGATGGCACAAAGCAGCAAGGCAGCAATGAGACGTATGGAATGGCAGGAGTGGGGGAGAGGCAGGGGCAGCTTGACCGACCATAGGGTCTTCATTACAACCCAAGCGCTCCACGAAAACAAAATATTACAGAAAATACACCGGGGGGGGGGGGGGTAGAGACTTCCCACCGCTTTGGGAGCGCCATCCGTGCCTTGATCCTTGGATGTGGTGGCGTTCCTCCATTGCAGAAAATGCAGTTTGACTGAGCCTCAGACGAACAGTAAAAATTGGGAATGGTGCAGAAAGATCTTGTTTTTAACTAAAGGGGGTTTCCCCTCAGCATTTTTTGTTTCTTGACGATATATGCACCATGTTGCTTGGCGGGCTCACTTCCTGGGACTGTGTCCACCAACGTAGTCGTGTCGTTTGGGCAGCATTTTATGGTTCTATGCGTCCAGGATTTTAGCCTGCAATGGTGCACACGAAATGCGCACTACGCTCCGACGAATGCATTGTCTGCTACTCGTGTGGTGGTTTTAGCGTACCGTGAGGTGCCAGCCATGAATGGTGTGCTGACCAATTGCCTGGACACTAGTATGTTAGTACTTTCAGACTGTGTAGTGAATCTACAAAACGCATTTGTGACATGGGGTTTCTTTGTTCTTCTCCCCGTTTGTTTTCTTCAGCTTCCTCCATACCCTCTAACCCGGTAAGTTTTATACCCCTTCATTGTTGTGGTAAAGTTAATTAAGCTCTCACTTCACGTGCTCATTTTGACGCCAATGAAATGTTACGTGTACATTGTAGCTACATGAGGCAGTACAACAGAGACGAAAAGCTCGTGACTTCGAGTTTTGTGTTCAGAAGCACTCATCAGACCCAGCAAGGACCTCAGACACTCTGTCTACAGTGTAGGTATCGTATTTCCCCGATTGTAAGTCACACCTTTTTACACTAAACTTCAAGGGCAAAGAAGGGGGTGCGACTTACAATCGAGTGTGACTTCTTACTTATGTGAATGCATTGAGACGATTTGGTTCGGACGTGAGAATGGGCTGCGACTTATAATCAAGTGCGACTTATATTCGGGGGGGGGGGGAATGTGGTACATGCTATCACCCACAGACTTCTCACCCGGGAGTAGTTCAACGGTGCAGTACTTCACTACTCCCTGCTTTTCGCAGGCTTCTCACCCTTGGCCAGGGTGTCAGTACGTGTCACATACATAATCTTTGTTTAGTCTGCAGTAGGTCTATTCCTAAGGATACACCGGCTTGCAGTTTTCAATAGTACCCCGAGTGTTGGCTTTATTAACTGTAGCTCTGAGAGGCCTTTTTTAGGCTGTTGCTATACATGTACTGAAAAATACTTCAGCAAGAAGAGACTGTTTGAAGTGCAAAGTGCTGTTTGGGTGTAGTAGATGGCTACAGTGGAGGCTTCTCGTTTTCAGCAAGATCACTTCATCTAAAAAACCCGAGAAGTGAGTATAAAATGTCTTCCTACATTTATTGTCGGGCACTTATTAAAAAAGGAATAATGTGCCGAGGAACGAATATGCTCGAGTTCCCCAAGTACAGTGCATACGTACTAAATGTGCACGTAGACTGTCGTATAGAAAATTAAGAACAGCCTGGGCTACAAATCGGATCCCACTAGTCTTCAGCACCCGGCAGTATTGTTTTTAATTTTTGTTTGTGCGTCTACGGGCCGTCTACGGGGCATCTTTTTTCTGTGGGTCTGATCCTACTAGCACGCACGCACACATACCTGTGTGTCTTGCTGTCTACAGCGTTGGGTACCTGTTTGTTCATGTTGTTTTCGGTGTTTCTGTTGCCGTGTGTCGTGCAGGTTGTCTTCATGCTTGTAGCTGGCATACGGCCTGTCAAAGATCCCCTCTACCTGGTCGATGCGTTTCACGGTAAGTGAGTTTACGTTTTGTTATGTACTCGTTTGAATAGCACACCATGTCTTGATGTAATGACAGGTAAGCAGAGCGGGAAGCTGTCACAGGGTACCGTTTGAGAGAAACTCAAGACTACCAGTGGCGTCCAGACGGACCTTTCGTAATGTTATGCTGTGCTCTGCGTATTGAGCACTTTCCCAGGCGGTTGGCATGCCGTCTCTTCCTCTCTGGATTTTCCATGTTCCATGCGTATGTTACTGTTGTGGACATCGAAATCTGATGGGATCATCGAGGCCGGCGCCCTTGCTTTTAGCGTGTACATGCACTGTAGTTCATGTACACACTGTAAACATGGAACAGCGGTGCTCGCAGCTGCATGGTCAGCTCCCCGTGGCCGCGTGTGACTTCTCAACGGATGTCAATGTCCGCAACAGTATGCGTCCGGCGAGTGTATGATTATGTGTTTACAGTCAACTTCGCTAATAACGACTGCGGATACAACGACAATTCGCGAATAACGACAGAATTTCCATGCCCAGAGCAAAGTCCCATCCCACTGTAATACATAATGAGACTTCGGGTATAACGACGCTTCGTGAATAACGACACTTTTCTGATGCCCCGCCGAGTGTCGGTATAAGCAAAGTTGACTGTACATGTCTGTATTGTGTTGTATGGTTCCAGTGTAGGTCACATGACCTTGTTTGACTTTGTTTGTAACTCTGTTGCCGTTGGCGACACCTGTCTGTTGTGAATGTTTCATACCACAGTCCGTATCTGCACATTAGACGGCCATTCTGGTCATGTGGTGAGATTTGGATTAAAGTGCTAGGCTGGCAAGCGTGACATGCGTTCTATTGTTTCCTGGGTAACTGGTTGTCACCCTGGTAACATGACTCGTCTGCGGATGCTTCCAGTGTGCTTCGATCTAGTCCCGGCTGTGTTTATTTGTAGTTTCTATGGCTTCTGTGAGTGTTCTGGGTTAGTATGTTGTGTGTTTGTGTGGAAGAGGTAGTAGGGACACTATAGTTTGAATTTGTAGAAAGGAAAAGAGCGTGGGAGGTGGAAGTTATCGCTTCTCGGCCTTTTGGCTAAGATCAAGTGTAGTATCTGTTCTTATCAGTTTGATCGCTGATATGTTGACTATATGTCAACATTCGATCAAATGTATTTTTGGTCGTTGGAGAGTGGCTCGAAGCTTGCTTCACCCTCTCCACGGATCACCCTGGTATTGCAGTTCTTCCAGGTGTGGTCCATTTCCCTTCCAGGGATTATAGTAAAATTATAGAAAGTATTCAAAAAGTTGTTTGACTTTTTGGGGTCAACTCAACAAGGTAACGTTTTGCAGCCACATATCTCATACACTGCCTTTCAATAAATTGTTTAATGTTTTCTGTTGTAAATATCCTGGATGTATCACACTATATTTATTTATTTATTTCTGCACCTCGTGGCATGTCGAGACAGCCAATTGAATTGAGGAGAGGGTGAGACCAACCACGGAAGAAGAGAAAAAAGAAAATGAAGAGCACGTACACAAAGTGGGAAGGGATTAGCAACTTACAAAGCAATGGGATGCTCATACACTATAGTACCTTTCTCCTAACGTCGTATGTAAAAACATTCTCATGATCTATTCTTTCATAGTCATTTGATCTTGCGTAAGTGTTCCTAAACTATAAAGTAGTGCTTTTTACGTCACCTGGAGGTCCACTGTCCTACATGTACTGTTAATGAATTGAACAGAGAATTTGCTTGCTCGACGGAGGACAGGCTGATGGCTAGTTGTGCTGTGTGCAGTAGGGCTGGCTTACGCTCTGTCTTGTATTGACTGTGGGGATTTGAAGGAAATTTATAGTGTCATGCGTGCACACAAGCATTAATTTTCGTATTGTGGGATATTGGTTACCATGGAGATAGTGTGATGTCGAAAGATGTGTTGAGGATGAAAGGGAAATGTCTGGACCTGGACGAGGTATTGACTGATACGGCGGCTGTTGCTGACTAGTTTCAATATGTGTGCGATAGTGAGAAGTGGAGAATGCAACTACGAGAGAGGTGTCATGATGATTGACACTGTAGTCAGTAGCCGTTCTTGGCTGTTGTCGGAAAGCAGTGTAAAGTCATACTTACCTGGCACAGGGGACGCCGTGATCAAGAAGGCGGCTCCCTCAGGATGAGGCCCCTCCACTGCACTCCGTTGGGGCTGAGGCTTGCGATTTCCCCAAACGTGGGAAACTCGGGTGCACAATTTATGGTAGTGGGGGTTTGCGTTCGCGCAGCCCCTGTAATAAATAATGAAGAGAAACAGTGGGGCTCCTCTTGATTATTTCTTGCCACTCAGACCGAAAACTGATGAGCAAAAAAACAATGCAAAAGGAGACCGTCACAGGTGTTGTTGGTCAAATGAAAACCTCTTGAAAAACCTCGGATACTGATGGACATGCAACAATTGTCCACAAAGTTAGCGGTGAGAGATTGTACATCGTGATGAATGGAATACTACAGTCCGTTTCAAAAAGATTTGCAATCCTGGCGATCGCCCGCGGAGTTTGGCGTCTTACCGTATGAGCACTCGAGCGCTGCCTGGAAAAACTCACTGTGAACTCGAAGAAATATTCCGCGCGAAAGCAGGAAAAATGACAACTCACTCACGTTGATACAGTCATGTACGTCTACATCTGTCGTCTGGTTTACAACAAACGAGTTCTTCCTCGTATCGATAATGGAGTCAGAGAGGACATGTCGAAACGAAAGTGTTGTAAATGTTGACGAGCGGCATGGGTCCCAATTCGTTTTGTGACCAAAATAGTTTCTTTGAGCTGCGATGCAATTTACTCACCGTGTGACGAAAACGACATCGACACGGACTCATTCCCAAGGCCATGACTTGGCAAAGCTATCCGTGTGACTTCGACGACATTTTGAGAAAAGCTTGACTTGAGGATAGGTTGGGATTTGAACTCACAACTTCATGGTCAGCAGACAGCATTCATAACCACAAGGCCAAAAAGGAAAGGATAAATCGTGGGTTTTGATAAAAAATCAATACTGGCTTTCTGGGCAAATTGTAAACCATGGGAAAAGGCCGGAAACCTGGCCGAAATTCTAACTCCTTAACGGCTGATCCAATTGTTCCGAAACCTTCACAGAACAATTTGCCGTGTCCCAAAGACCCAAACCTGATTGTAAATCTTTTTGAAACACACTATAGTACATTGTAGCCTTATTGTGGTTACAGACAGTTGCCATGGCAATGTTCGGCAGGAATCGCAACCTATGTGGTGAAACACCGAGCCTTGAAGTTGTATTCTTCGATGGTAAAATGTGATCGCATGGGCTGACGGGTGCACTAAAGCGGTTCTGGAAAATTTGTAGTGAGTGAGAGACTTTTGCGATGACTTGCACTGTGTTCTGTTGAGGTATATGCATTTGGAGATGATGTTTATGAAATCAGCTTTGCGCAGTGGTAGTACCATAGCCAATGAGGTCCAACCGAGGCGTGGTTATTGCTAGTTGAAAACTTTTCCCAATATCCCGCATTGACGACTTGAAACATAGTCGGCTTTGCAATTTTTGAAGGCTCATCCGTGAGCCAACTTTCAATTGAAATCAAAGAAAGAGTTGGATTCCAAATTAGAAACCCTTGTCTGGATCACACAAAGCATAGAAATTGTTGCTATGTACAGCTGTCCTTTACCTTCGGAGAGTGGCCTTGAGGAACCGATAAGTGCATGCCTATTAAAAGAAGTCAGTTGCATGTGGTCAAAGGCAAGGAAACCACAGAGATAAACTTGCTCTATCCATTTTCGGACTGCCAGACTCTTTCTTCATATCATCAAGAGTACATAACCCAAGAGTGTGCAACTCCAGCTATGGGATCTGAAACGGAACTTCACATCACGTGATGAACCCGTACACATTATTTGCACTCTGTGCATACTCTCTTGTGGTCACTTTGCACTGTTTGCCAGCATATCCTTTTGAACCATGTCACGTGATGTGAAGTTCTGCCGTCGCAGCACAGCATAGAGGTTGTGCAGGCAGTTGCACACTCTTGGGGTTATCTACTCTTGATATCATGCCAGACTCTTCTCTCCCCTTTACCCTGCTATATTTTGAGAGAAAAAAAAGAAATAAAAGTCAAAAAAGAAATGTCCTCCCCGGCCGGGAATCGAACCCGGGTCTTCCGCGTGACAGGCGGAGATACTTACCACTATACTACCGAGGATTGACTGATGGAGGTTCTGCAGCTCCAGCACAATAACCTCACTTCAATGGAATATCTTCTTCTGCAAATGCATAGCAACAAAAGCCTCGACACATGTACAATACTTATAGGCGATTCACACGACAGGCAGATCCACGTGCACCGGACCGTTGCTATGGTATTTCACCTGTGAACGAGAAAAGTGGCTGAAAAAATGCAAGCGAGCTGGGGGCCCACTTTCACGATAATCGTGGCGGACACGAGTACACCGAAAAGCGCGAAACAAGACTTGATTTTTGACACGGCTCTTTTCAACGTGATGATAATTTTAATGTACCGGTATGTGTGTTTTGAAAATTTGAAATACCCATGGCAACTGGTGGGTGAATCATTCAAAAAATGCAAATGTGCCTGTCGTCAAGTGCAGCCATGTGAATCCACACAGTCACTTTTCTCGTGAATCACTCGCTGTAAAACGTGCAAGTGCCTGTCGTGTGAATCGCCTATAAGTACAGTTTGTGCTCTTTGAAATCCAGCCCAAAGTGCAAAACTGGTGTCCTGAAAGAGTTCCTATTACATCACTGTATGTGCACATGAGTACGTCCAGCCGCATTCGTACCACTTCCAGGGTGTCAACGGGCAGAAAGTTGAGGGCGCCAAAAATGCACTCTGGGTTGAATTTCACCGAACACATCTGTACATGTGCAGTTTATCCACAGCGGGACTGTAGCCTACTGGAGAGTGTTTTCGTATTGACACTGAGCATCGTCAGGCGAAATTACTGGTCAGTCGGCGACACGCATTT